TGTCCAACGAGACCATAGGTAAATACGAGAGTGAATCTCATTTCTTTCGTTGCAGTTGTTGTAGAGCTTGGCCAATTGATAAAATGTTCTGATTCCAATAGCTGCGAAGAAATTCCAAAGCTGACTGATGAACAACCAATACAAGTGTTAATAATCATGCTAGTATTACCTGCGCATACCTGTAACCATCGATCACTTTTCAAAAAACGATTCAACCTTGAATGGACTCAGTCTTGGATTAAAGTGCAAAGATCTCACACGAGTTGCTGAGTGCTCTTGTCATTCCGAGACAGTCTGAAGATTACTGTTTAGAAGAGTATAAAACCTGTAATTCCCAGCTCATTTCAACCAATTTTATGTTCGTCGTTCGGTTCTGTCGGTTCCTCCTCAAAAAACTTCTGGTTGTGATAAAATGTCTTATTTAATATATTTATAATTTTCNTTCTGTCGGTTCCTCCTCAAAAAACTTCTGGTTGTGATAAAATGTCTTATTTAATATATTTATAATTTTCTCATAGAAATATATCTCATATAATATTCATAATAACATTATTTATAAATATATAAATCTTATATATTTATAAATAATGTTATTCCCATCGAAATTCTCTTATGAGCATCACTGTTAATGTCCGCAAATGTTACTTATTTTACTTATCTGTTAGTTATCTTTGCTTATCTGCAAATTAATCAGTCCAGCAATACCACATTGCTATTTGGCGATTTCCTTTTCAGTATTCAATCGCCAATAGCATAAATTGGATATTCTATAAGTTTAAACAATTAGAATCTCAATGATTTTCGGACATTCACTTCTCCTAAATACATCTGAAATGTAGTAATATAAAAAACGTGAATTTTTTCCCTTACAGTACTTCTTTTCTTGATAGTTAAAATTTTTTGACAGTTTACTGAATCGGGATTGTGGCTCTGAATAGGCCAGAATGGTGGCGTTTCATGTGATGATGTATGCTTGCAACAGTAGATTTGATTCGCAGAATCTCCGAATCTTTTTCATGTTGCTAATGAATATCGTAGAAGGCGAGCGATCACAGTTTATGAACTGAATAATCAATTTTCAGAGGATGTTTGGAGGTTATTTGTGCATCGCGATCGTTTACGCAGCAATTGATCTGTCTGCGGCCAATTGTGGTTGTAGTCCGTGTTCATGCCGGCCAATGCCCATATGTCCACCACCGATCATTTGCCCACCTCCCATTTGCCCACCACCCATCATTTGCCCACCACCCCCACCACCCGTGTTCTGCCCACCTCCACCACCTCCGGTCTTGTGCCCACCGCCACCGCCACCACCACCACCACCACCACCACCACCACCTCCAATGTGTCCTTGCAGAGTCAGTTAGTTCTCTAGATTCGTGGCTTTTTCGAGCAATAATAATAATATTATATCTCTAATGCTCATCAGCAAATGGACCGTTGTAATGTTTTAACGAGACATTGTGAATAATCCTTCATGAAGAATCTCATAGCCAGATTAGTTGTCAGTAAAAATTCATAAGAATTGCTTGCAGCCACCACCGATCATAACGAATTCGTGCTGTAACTCATGCTCAGTGCCATGTGCGTTCCACAGACGTCGTAGACGATCCGTTGTGAAGGGTCATAAACTGGCCAAGATCAAGGTGGTTGAAGATGCAAAATGCAACAACGCATCATTGAAGAGTATCATGATTGAGGTAGGTATCATCATCAAGATATACCATAAATCCTCAAATTATCACGCAAAAATATACCAGCGAAATT